AAATTCCGAAATCAGTGTTATTTCCATTTAAATTATTATTTAATAATATTAACATCAAATCAAACAATAAACAAAACAAACAGCGATTAATTATATTAATCAAAGAAATTACCAGACAAAAAACGATTGACTACGTTAATTAAAGAAATCAACAAAACAAAATATTAATAGCATTATATTTCAATTAAAGATACAAACTTAAAAATCTTGAGTTCATGGACATTGAACCTACTCCATTAAATTATTTATAACTGGCATAGCAGCCACTTTGTTCTCGTTTGGGTTGTTAATGTTTTAGTTCAACACTATAGATTATAATAGATTTTGAAATGTGACGTCACGAAATTTAGAACCCCTCCCGCCCTTTGTCACAAGATGTCACATTTCGTCGACCCCCTCCCTCCCCCTTGACGTGTGACGTAATGTATGGATGGCCCCTTACAATAAGTTTTGATTTCAGTTTACTCTTTAAAAAAAATATAAAAACTGTTTTTGACTGTTGCTTTTTATCAAATTGTTTGCATCTTTTGATAAATTTAAGTTATTAATTGAGATATTCACAATTTCAAAAACTGGCAAAAGTTGTGTGTGAAATGAAATGACTCTTATCTAATCTAATAAAAAGTTCCTGACGATTCCATTTGCATTAAGTAGCGTTGCTGTTGCGCGGAATATACGTTTGGCAACAATGCATTGAAGAATGCGATCTTGTAATTTTTGTCCAGAATTCGGCTTATCTACTTCCTGGCGCGGTAATATAGTAAACTTTGGTACAAATTGAATACTTGTAATTCGGCTTATCTACTTCCTGGCGCGGTAATTCAGTAAACTTTGGTACAAATTGAATACTTGTAAGTTCTAACATTGGTTTAATATTATTATATAGGGTCGACGTCAATCCAAACAAGTCACACCGTTTTACGTAATATTCACCGGCCGTCAATATTATGGAATATCCTGCACAAGTGCACGAAATTCTATAATATTAATGTTTTGGCTACGTTTTATAACAAAGTTAGGCTTGCAACAAAGTATGTACAACAAGGACGTCATTTGCACTTAAAAGTTGATGGAACCGCCGAGATATACGTTGACGCCGTATTGGAGTAGATATAAATATGGGTCCAAAGGGGTACTAATATGAAGAGGAAATATATATTGGTGAATAAAGTGCATTTTGTAAATATAAACTCATCACATAATATTGTATACGATTATAAAGTAATATACGCAAAGATATGAAGATAAATGCTTATAAAAGACGCAACGACGCAAAACTGATGTAAAGTAGGAAGACGCAGGAATGGAACTGTGATGTAAATATATATACACAGTCAGGTCATAAGTATTGTCACACAGTAAAAACTTTTCTTTTAGAATGCTGGCCACAAAAAAGTTTATTAAATTCGAATTTCGAATTGTTCATGAAAATAAAAATGTATACTTTTTATAATTTTACTCATTTTTAAATATGGAGTGGACGCTTAAAAAAGACCGTGTTGCAGTTATTGCGTTGCATCGTTGCGGTTACGCGCCAATTAAATTTTTTGACATACCTACTGAAAATTTTGAATGTAACCAAAAGATTCGTTTATCGTTCCATCAAACGATACAATGAAGACTAGTGTAGATGACAGTTCAAGAAGTGATCGCCCTCGATCTGTTAGGACTCCAACAGTGATAAAAGCTGTGAAGGCGCGAATTCAAAGAAATCCCAAACTGTTGGCCCTTCAGATTGGGTTAACAAGAACCACGGTGAAAAGGGTGTTAAATGAAGACTTAGGGCTTCGGGCATGTCGAAGAAAAACAGGACATCGTTTGAATACTCGTCTAATGGACCTGAGACTGAAGAGATGCCGCGCTTTGTTGAAGCGGTACGCGGGAAAAAAAATATCGGGATTCTTTTTTCGGATGAAAATTTTTTTACCTAAGAAGAGAGCTACAACAAACAAAACGATAAGGTGTACGCCACACAGTAGTGAAGAAGCGAGCAACTGTTCCGCGTGTCCAACGAGGTCATTTTCTATCCTCGGTCATGGTATGGTTGGGAGTTTCTTATTGGGGCTTAACAGAGGTACATTTTTGTGAGAAAGGTGTAAACACAAATGCTGTTGTGTATCAAAATACAGTCCTGACGAATCTTGTGGAACCTGTTTCTCATACCGTGTTCAGTAACAGGCACTGGGTATTCCAACAAGATTCGGCGCTAGCTCAAAGAGCGAAGAGCACACAATCGTGTGAATCGCGCGTGAAATCGACTTTATCCGGCACGAAGACTGGCCCTCCTCCAGTCCAGATTTGAGTCGTGCTCAAAGCATCATCCCAATTTGGAGTCACTCAAGACATCCTTGATTAAGGCAGCCGCCGATATTGACATGGACCTCGTTCGTGCTGCGATTGACGACTGGCCTCGCAGATTGAAGGCCTGTATTCAGGGCCGGACTGTGAGTTTAGGGGGCCCTGGGCTAATACTACTCAGGGGCCCACCTAAATACTCAAAGTATAGAAAATGAGACTGTAAAATATTTAATTTATATTATTATATATTATGCCTTAGTGTTATACTACCATAAATAAATTGGCAAATTATAACCTTTCCGCACTATCCTTTAGCAAATTCTTTAATTTGCTTATCACATTCTAGGTTCTTAGTTAAATAAACATTTATGGACAAAAAGGATAAATGGTTAAGTCGTAAGTTTGACATCGTCGTTCTGTATTTATTATGTACACATCATCGCGATAATAACCGTTTATAACCGTTAATAACCGCACGGGCACTTTCGTTTGATAGAAATGCATACCGGGAGTTTAGGGTTACCAAGCCGTAGGCGGCCATTACACATTTAATCTGGATCACGATTCGCTACATTCCTCCAAAACAAAACAAAACTCTTTCTATCATACTAGTTATAAATAATTAAAAATGATAAATAACGGTACTTATAAATAATTCTAGCAAGATAGAAAGAGGCTGAGTCTAGGAGGGAAACAGCGGAGCACGATTGAGATGAATGTGTAATGGCAGCGGGACATTTAAACTGCCAGTTCGAAATACCAACATCGGAAAGTAGACTTGAATTTAATGAATTGAATGGATTTTATTAAATTCAGGATTCGCAGGGCTGCAAACTATACGATCTTTAATTTAATAAAATTATGGATTCTTTCGCATTATCGTCTATTTTTGACTAAACTTGACATAGCTGGGGGCCCCTTGAATCCACGGGGCCCTGGGCTGAAGCCCAAAAAGCCATATTGTAGATCCGGCCCTGCCTGTAATCAAAATCACGGAGGTCATTTTGAATAAACTTTATTGTCATAAGAATCTATGTTTTATTAAGTTCATTTTGGTATATAAATGGTTACTTAATGAATAAACTTGTTTCAATTATTTTATATTAAACATGTGACAGAATTTATGACCTGACTAGATATATATATGATGATATGATAACATGACTAAATTACAAATGCTTGTATTCTTCGTACTAACATTTTCCTCGGCAAATCTGAACACAGGACCTCTGTGTTGGTGACACCTTGGAAGTCATTATATTATTTTGAACAACTCCACCTTCAAGTTATCAAATCCTGAGCTGAAAGTAGCCTTTCATTACATAATTCGAATTATATGCTGTTTAGGTCTTGAAATTGCTACTACTTGAGACAAATATTTTTAGTGATTTAAGACAATATATTTTAATTCCTGTCTTTAAACTTCAATATTGTTTATTTGTTTAGGTTAACATTTATGGAAATTTAAAAAGGCTATTGTATCCTCAGATTAAAAAAAAAACAGCAATAAGTTAAAATTGTATACATAAAAATTATTTTAATGTATTTTAATATAAGTCCGTTTATTAGAGTGGAACACTTACTATATTCATGACTTTTGAATGAAATATTATTGATTCAAAAGTCATGAGTAATGTAATAGTCTTATTAAAAAAATAAATTGTGATTTAGAAGAGACATTGTTTCCATTTTTAATAATGTGTAGACTTATATATCAAATTTTTATTTTTTAATAGTTTTATTTTCTGTACTTATTTGAACTTGTAATTTTTCAAATGCTTTGCATTGCTATCAATTATTTATTAATTTTCTTCAATTAATGAAGCGAAGCGAATTATTTCTACATTATGTAATTTTCATAATAGGCTTTTTGACGGTATGAAAAATAATGTTCCAATTGTTGACATCTGTATTTAATATGAATATTTGCTGAAATTTTCCTATTCTGAAAGAACGAATAGTTAATAACTTTTCTTTCAAATCATTAAATAGAAAAGTTTTTTTTTGCTCCACGGTCACGTGACCGAAAACGCCTTGGATTGGCCAAGACAAATGACGTCACACGATAGTAAACTGATCTGGGGGCCATTCGCCTAACCGGATTGCTATGGAAAACGCTATCGCTTACGATTTCATTTTGTTATTTCTGACTGCCGGAGGTTTTCAAATATCTCACGCTCATTTTCTTTAATATTTTTATTACCAATGCAAAAGAAAAAAAAGAGCGCGAGGCATTTGAAAACCTCAGGTGGCTAGAAATAACAAAAAAAATCGTAAGCGATAGCGTTTTCCAAAGCAATCTGGTTAGGCGACTGGCCCCCTGACCTGACCAAAGTGATATAACATTGTATCCTTTGACGTTTTAATGACATTCGTGTGACGTCACACACTAATGAGACGTATTTGACATTTGACATATTTAACCATATATGATTGCTTAACGCTTCAACATATCTGATCTGCCATAATGTACGGAGAAACGTTTTGACGGCATATAAAAATAGAATTTATTGTTTTATTTTTACTGAATGACACAACAGAATAAAAATTATCCACTTTTTATAGACTCCACAAAAAATGACAGTAACGTTATATCGTTTTCTAAAACTTGTCAAATACGTATACGTTTAAGTGTGGTGAATTCTAAAAAAACTTTAGGAAATTTATACCTTATTATTAATTTAAGTTTTGATATATTGCAGCTAACACAATATTCGATGTGTCATCATGGCATAAAGTGATACTTTCAATCACCAGTGCCATCATTATAGGTATAGTTATATGTGCACTGACATTCATTATACTGAGCCACAGCCAGGATGACAGATCTCACTCTGATGATACCGAGTCTTCTGGAAAAGAGTCAAGTAAGTTCTACTTGTTTTCTATAAAATGTATAAAATGACACTGGCATGTGCTTGTTGTAAAAATTATATTACACTTGCACAACATTATATGTATTTAAGCATGATATTGTTGTAATAAGCTTTCCATAATTTTTTTTGCTCTAATTTTTATGAAATATTTTATGAGTATGAAACACCTCTAAAATTGCATTCAGGAGTCATTATTATGATAAAAAATAAAATTTTAGTTAAATTGTGACACAGTTTTTTATAAATGTAAACAATTTATGAATGAAGTCTGAAATGAAATCCGATTTAAACATGTAAACTATCAAGAAAGAAGTCATAATTTTCTAATTGGCTTCTTTTTATACATATGAAATTCGTGTTTTGTCACCAATCTTTACCAATTACGTTAAAACAAGTTTGCGGCTGACAAACACCATCAATGTTTTGTGTACAAAATTAAATAAATGTGGTTTCCGATAAACTTAAACGACGTAGAAATTTTAGTCTGTTTGTTTCTTAGGTTTTCACGCACATCACTCATTAAATAAAACTAGTTTTAACGGGTTAATGCACGAAACTTTATTTATTTATTGTCGTTTCGCAGCCTTTCTTTCTTTTTTCTTTTCCAGAAAAAGGCTGCGAAACGTCAATAAATAAATAAAGTTTCGTGCAATAACCCGTTAAAACTAGTTTTATTTTAGTCTGTTTTCAAGTTTTGGCTAATAACCTCTTTCTGCCATCGAGAAAGTAACTGACCTTTTTCAAAATTGTTAAATAGTTCTAGTTTCTTTAGAAGAACCTAAAAGCTTTGAGATTATAGCATGTCACAAATAATCCAATTCATAATGTTAAAATGTAGTGTCAGCCTTATTTCACGAAAGCCTTAATTTTACCCGGACCAGAAATAGACCTTGTTTTAGGCCTTACAGTCCCTAGTTCTTTCATCCCATATGCCAAGCGGGAAGACAGCAAGACACCTCCAAACGCGCTGGTATGATTATCCCTGACACCAGTCCAAAATGTTATCATGCCATCGCGGAAGTCTTCGGTAATACCCTTTCGCTTAGTCTCAGTCACACACAAATCTTACTGGCACTATACGTTCACTACATCTATGAATTCATTCATCTCATCTTTCTCCGGCTAAAATTAAATTCCGCTTGTCTCCGCTGTGCACTCTGTTCTCATTGATCAGTGGGTTGTAGCATTGCACAAAAGGTGGCTGCATGTTTTTAAGCATGCCTTATGGGGGGTATTCTGCTGCGTCGGAAAAATCAAGTTATATCGGTCATATCGTCCTAGTACCAACTCCTTTTGGACGATGTTGAGGCGACTGCTCAGGGTGTGCCAGACGCTTATGCATGTTTACAAAACAGATCTGGGAAATTGCGCTACGCGTGAGGGCTGCTTTTATTTAGGTATGACCAAGTATATGCAACTTTAGGAATCGATCCAAGATCTAAATGTTATTAAATCGATTTTTCTTGATTTAGTACTCTACATGTAAAAGTAATCCAAATTGTAGCATTGAATTGAGCATTGATTGATTTCATTAGACTTAGTAAGATCGTATTGAAATTTGTAAAAAACCACTTGCTTTACGATTGCTTAAACCAGTTGGATCTAACCTATTCTGACATTATCCAGTGATAAAATTATCACCACCTAACCTTTATATTTAATGGACCAGGGGGACTGCTCCTACCTGTGGGAGTGATCCGCCTGCTAGTCTAGGGGGGTCATCCATTAAGTACGTCACACTGATTTCGTGATTTTTTTACCCCTCCGTCCATGTCACAGCCCTCCTTAGTGTGACGTAACATATTTTGCATCTAGAAATTACTAAATTAAAACGGCAGTTCCGAAATTATTTCCGAAAATTAGCCACCAAAACGAATTTAAAAACCATACAGATAGAGTTCTTAATATTTTAAAGGTTTTTGATAATAGTTCAAAAGTATTAGATTTTGAAATGTGACATTGAACATCGCCGTGTTAATTTATTTGTCTGTTCGTTTCCAACATGCGTCACAGGAACAGGAAATACGCCTCCGATTCCTCCCACACAGGCCACAAACACCGACACTACTCAGCTAGCAAACGTGCACACTAGCTTAGCATTAGGCAGACACCGCACCCGTAGGATAAGAATGCGAAGACCCGGTCTACACACGACACGCTATACCAGGTACAGGTACGTACCTGGGCGTTTTTCCCCGCCCCCCACGACAACGGCTAACTATAGCCGAGGTCCGAGTAAAGGTCAACTGCGACCAACAGCATACACACTCAAAAAAAAAGAAGAAGGAAAGATCCCTAGTAGTATTAATCGAGATTCTTCCTCAATCGATTAATAAATTTATCGACACTATCGATTCGCCTTCCTCCTCCATTATACGAACCGCTCGGAACGAATGTTCCCTTCCCGGATCATTGTTTCCCGATAAATGGTAATGAATCTCTATTCATTATTTTCTGGGAGTTCCCCATACTTACAACTGAAACTATTTTTTTTTCTCATCAAACCCCACACACACCGTGAGTGGGATATGTCTTCAAAAATGTTATTAAGGTTTTTAACATATTTTTTTTCTAAACTGAATAGTTTGCGCGAGATTCACTTCCAAAGTGGTAAAATGCCCCCGCCCCTGTAACTTCTAAAATAACAGAATGATAAAACTAAAAAAAAAATATGATTTACATTACCATGCAAACTTCCACCGAAAATTGTTTTAAACGAAATCTAGTAAGTCATAATACGTAAACCGCAATATAACTTAAAAAAAATGCACTTTTATTAAAACATCGATCAAAGTTACAACGAACTACAAGAAGTTTTATATTATGTTACTTGCTGCTACGGCTGCCCTTCATGGGCGAGTCCGACTTGCACTTGGCCGCTTTTTTTATTACAGCATCACCAAAGTTATCTTGTAAATAGTGTAAAGAAGCCACTTACAATAATTAAATAATTTCTTATTATCTAACCATCAATATTATTGCAGAAAATAAGTAAAGTTGTGATAAAACATTTTATAGTAAAGTATCTGGCAATCAATAATGTTGGCAAAATGTGTCTGGTAGTATTAATTTTGAAATTGTTTAAAATATTCTCTACAGCATACGTAAGAACCAGTCCTCAGACTGTAATTAAAGTCAGTAATTTTTTTACGTACCTGTGCCATCTGATACTTGAAAATTGGCCCATAGCACAAGTTAGCGAGTATATGACTGTATACATACATTGTACACGCTAAGTGCTATAACACATCAGAGCGGCATGTCGCGCGCGACATGTCGCGTCCTGCCGTGCGCGGTGTAATTTTCTATGAAGCTCTTTGCGCAAAGCCTATTACCGCCTTAGATTAAAACAAAAAGGGTAGATACGGTACGCTCATACTTGCATCAAACAAAAACTGATCCTACGGCAGCGCGAACGGGACGGTGAGATCCGCGTCACTGCATTACCGACCCGAACGAAACAGCACGTTAAGTTTCAACGGCAGCGCGAACGAGACGGCGAGATCCGCGTCACTGCACTACCGACCAATCACGCGACCAGCGGGTCAATTATGCTTCAGTAATAAAATTCTAATGTGATGTCAATATGATGTTGATGCCAAGTTGACATTGTTTTTAGATGGTATTATGAAACATTCCTATGTCACATCAAGATCATATCAATATTATATCCTGTATCACATTTTTGACGTTTAAGCGATACTATTTTAAGTCAAAAAGTTGAACGTAATACGCATTTAAGTTGATATCATTTTATAGAGTTGATCATCATCATAGCATAAGTTGATGTCATTTTGATATCGCATTTTTCGGAGAGCATAATACGTAATGTGAAATAGACATCAAAACAATATCACAAATAGCGAACATAATTGGCCTGCAGTACTCGACGTCACTACCGAATAAGATTCAATACAAACAGCAATTTTTATGAAAAAATATATTTTATAGTACTTACGAATGAAAAGTGATGCCGTGGGTTTTATTTTTAGTTCTTAAGCATTTTTTAAAAATACACTTAGGCATTGTTTTATCATATAAACACAAAATATTAGCAATATTTATTTTTGGCGTTCACATGTACGTCGTTTGCATGTCAAGTTGTGACTAAATCGATTAGGGTCGTGGACCACAATTTGTGCGGATCACTTTTGTGAGGCTAGTGCCGCATCTACCCTTTTTGTTTTAATCTAAGATTACCGCTGCTGGATCGCCTTATTGCGTGCGGCTCCCGTTTGAACGATTACGCGCGCGACACGTTTTTGTACTGTTTTATATGGAAGTAAACCCACTTGAGCGGCCAGTCGACCGCGGCATGCTACCCAGATCGCTGTGCTACTCTTATTATTATCAAGATGGTGTCGAAAAGATCTTCAGGTCGTATACTGTCCCGAAACTTAGTATCTTGTCAATTTATTTGTCCTTTAATAAGCGCGAGTAATTCATCAAATGATTCGGCGCTTATACTGCATTAGTTGAAAAACTTCTCTTCGTGCCTGCGCAAGTCCTTATACAGCACAAAGCACCTTTGTAGGACGTTCTTAAAATATGGGAAGTACCCAGTAGGTATGTACGTTTCACTTTATGCGGTGGCGCACATAATAAAACAACAAGGCTGCAATCGCGTCTTGTCGCGTATCAAAATCGCGAGTAAACAGTCGTGCGCGATTCCACAGCTCGCGGTTAATCGCGTGCGATATCACAGCGCGCGGTTAATCGCGTAGGTGAGTTATTACACTAATACAACTCGATTATCTGGGTTGATCACAGGTTGCCTAGGTCGCAGTGTGACCGACTCCAATTAAAGACAACATCGTAAAATGACTAATTATAATTTCGCCTAGCTCTTTAATTGACTACATCGCAAAATGACTAGATCTTTATTTGACCACATCAATTAATGACTAGATCTTTATTAGACCACATCTCATAATGACTAGGTCGCAAAATGACTAAGATAGCTTATTTGTCTATTAGTTTGTGTTTTGTTA